GCCCTAGAGGCAGTGGCCACTCCCCACATCTGCTATTCCTTTGTGTCCTTAGAGTAAGCAAATCAGTCTCCTATTAAAACAGACAGTAAGTAGTGCTTAGTAAGTCAGCCCGTGTTCCAGTTAATAGTTCTCTATATCAAACCTTTCCTGTTCACTTTACTGTGCAGCTTCTGTCTTCAGATTGGACGGTAAGGTAATGGGTTGACTGGTGAGTTGGTTGATAGGCTAGTTAGTGGGGTGGTAGACTGGTGGAAAAGCAGGTTAGTTGGCAGACCGGTTGGTGGGCTTTCTGGTTAGTCGGTTGGTTGATAGCTGCTTAGAGGGTTGCCGGAGTGGTACGACAGCACCATGTGTGGTAGGTAATGTGTTGGTTGGTGGTTCCTGGATTGGTTAGTGAGGTGACGGCTTGATTGGCAGGTTGGCAGACTCTGGTGGCTGATGGGTTAGCTGGAGGGTTGGTGCTTTAGGACATGGGGTTAGCACCACATCATAGGACAGGACAAGACCAGAGGAAGCCCCCACATTGAGCCTCAGCCTCTATTTCTGCCCACCCGCACGGGCCCATCCTGCCCCCCAGGCTGGAATCCTCACGGCTGTGCCATGCCTACTGGACCATGTATGCACACAGAAGCAGAGGCTGAGGCAGGGGCATCCGGGGAACGTGGAGAATGGCCCAAGAGGACAAGCTCAGGCTGGTCCTTTACCACGCATGCCCCTGCAGTCCCTGACAAGGCCTCCGAGGGACCACCTGACTACCCAGCATCCATGGGCCCCTCCAGGAAAGGGATTCGAATTTCCAGTCCTTCTGAATGGATCTGTGCTTCTGCCCCATGAGATCTCCTGAGACACTGACCCAAACACAGACTTCCTTTAGGTGCTGGATGACCCCCAATCCCAGCAGCCTGGGAGTCTCTGCTGTTTCTTCCTCCAGCCTTCTGCCCACCAGGACCTCCGACCCCTGCCAGTCCCTGTCACCCTCCATCCTCAGCGCTCCCTCTGCCCCACGATTCCCACTCACCCCACCCCCACTCCCCGGCCTGGCCCTGAGGCTTGGCCTGGAATTCAAAAGGCCTTGGGCCCTCCCCACCGCTCCCAGCCACCTCTCTGGGCCCCAACCTGCTGACTCTTGGGTGGCCTGGCCCACACCCCAGCCAGAGGCACTGAGACATTTCTAAATTGCATATTTTGAGAATCAGAGAAAAGGAGATTTCAGAAGGAAATTGCTTTCTCCCCTGCTCAGCCCAGATGGACTATTTTTTAACTTGTCTTTCCCCCCACCACTTACAATCTCAATAAAAAATGAAATTATGTCTAAAGCTTTTCCCTGGGTCAGGGCTAGTCTCTAACCCTCCGGAGCCTGGGAGGCACCAGAGAAGGCCATGTCCCAGGGGGCAGGGGGCAGGCACACCACTTCCAGTCCCTCGGATGGGCTCTATTCTAGCCACCCACTGCCCCTGAGCCCAGAGCCAAGCCCTGGGAGCTGCAGGAGGAGCGTGTGGGGGCGCTCACACGGCAGCAGAGAGTGGGCCGGGTTGGGGCAAAGCTGTGAAGGGGGAGGTTTGCTGTGACTCCTGAAGCCCACTCCCCAGCCCCACACTCCGACCTACCACCACCCCTGCCGGCCCCCTTCCCTCCCTCCAGGCCTCAGGTCAGGAGAAAAGCATCTGATTCCTCACATCACTTCAAGAGTGATGGCCACCTGAGGCCGGCTCTGAAGGCCAGTCTCCAAACCAGGAGGCCAAGGTCCAGCCCAGCTCGGAAAGTCACTTCCCCTCTCGTGACCTCAGTCTTCTCCTGCAGAAGGGGCGTAGTGAACCCTGCGCTGCCGGCTCAGAATTGAGGGCGGCATGGATGTAGTGATGTGTGCCCAGCACCTTGTAAAGCGACAGCCTCCCGTTTCTTGACCATACAGGCCACGCCGCACACCACGCTGAGTGTCTTAAACACTTTGTCTTGTTTTGTGTTCAAAAGAACCCTAGAGGGATTACCCTGGTCGTCCAGAGGCTAAGACTCTACACTCCCAATGCAGGGGGCCCGGGTTCAATTCCTGGTCAGGAACTTTTAATAGATCCCACATCTGCAACTAAGAGTTCACAAGTCACAACTAAAGAATCTGCATGTAGCAACTAAGATCCAGTGCAGCCAAATAAATAAAAATAAATATTGGAAGAAAAAAAAAAAAGCCCACACCTGGATCTGTTATCTCATCAAAACAAAAAGAATCAAGGCTCAGAGAGGCTCGGGAGCTGCCCAAGGCCGCACAGCAGACGAGGTGAGGCATTAGATCTCAAGTGTCTGTTCTTAACCTTCACACGGTGTTGTCTGGTGCCATTTTGCGTTTCTTCATCGGAGCTTTGGAAGAACTATCATTCAAAGTAAGCAGAGAAGGAATTTTAGGCTATGCATCTGAGAAAGATGCATACAGTAAGTACTCAGTAAGTGGTAGCCACTATTATTATCATTTGAGATAGTCTAGTAGGTTCTTCCCACCCCTATATCTCTTTCTTAGATGCATACCCTAAAATTCCTTCCCTCATGTGCAGATGCTAACACTGAGGCACAGAGAAGTTACTTAACTTGTTCAAAGGTACATGACTATTAGCAGCGACCTCTTACAGCCTCAGCAATGGCACCAAGGGAGTTGCTACCCCTACTAAGGCTCCTCTTCTCAGACCACAGGGTATGTTAGGGGGAGGAGGCTAAGGGTCAGGGTGAGACCCTCCAAACAAGAGCCCACAGTGAGGGTGCCTTTGCCTCTGGTTTTCAGGCCAAAGTCCCCTTCTTTCTTGGTCACACCCCTGCCCACCCCCCAAGAGTCTAGTTAGTTGTTCAAAGCTGCAGTGATGATGGAAGGAAGAAGTGGTTCAAGATTGAGAGACACGGGCACATCTGTGGCCCATTGGCCAGCACCCCATCCCCCCGCCAGAGCCTCCTAATCTTCCCCTAAATGTCCCCCACCTCTGGCCCTCTGTGCCAATTGCTCAAACCCATCTATCCCTTCTCCTGTCCCCAAACTTCAGGTGCAGAGGTCACTCCAGCCCCGGTGATGGTAAGAGGGGGCCAAGGACAAAATGGTCCATGATTTGATCCCGGAATGAGGCTGTGAAGCCCAAGACTGGCCAGCGGAGCTGGGGAGGGGAGAGTCTATCAGCAGACGGTAGGCTGGTGACAAAACACATCGGGGCCAAGTGACCGCTGGACTGTGGCTAAGCAGATCAGATTGACTCTTAAAGAGGGCCTGTCAGGAGGACTGGCAGGCAGGACCCTCCTGCAGCACAAGAGGTTTCTCACTTCAGCTTCCTCCCTGGGGGAATCCTCTGTCTCCTCTTGGCCCCCCTCTCCAGGGAGAGCCAGCCCCACTCCACCCCACCCCACCCCACACATACACTATGTGCACTCATCCCTAAGCAGTAATCTATGTACATCTTGCTGCCAAAAGATGCTGAAGTGGTTTACAAGAATGCATATAATAAGATTTAACGTATAGATGAATTATTTCATCAAAGCGAGAGAGTAGTGGGGCCCCATCTTCAGCCACGCCAGTGAGAAGGCAGGTCCAGAAGGGACTGAAGGAAGCAGGCGGCAGAGTCACAGAGCTAGAGGTGAAGATGCCAGAGACAGAGAGCCAGATAGGTGCAGAAGAGGGATCAAAACGAGGCACTGGCCCCCAGCCAGCCCTGCCTGGTGTCCTGAGCCAGTCCACCAGACAGCACACAGACCTGTGATGAATGTCCCTTTTCTGAATCTGAAAAGATTCAGAAACAAGATTCAGGGAGAAGAAAAGTAGAATAACAAAGAGAGATCAAAGGGGCAGTTTTAGTACTCAGAAAATTCACAAACTTAGCTCTGGGCTTGGGGGCAGCCAAAGAAGAAAGGAAAACAGTGACAATCCCCCCGGAGACCCAGAAGATAAATACTCAGCACCAGAAAACAAACATGTCCACCCAATTTGTCCATTACCGTTCCCATAACACCTTGGATAGGCCTGGCACACAGTAGGTTCTCCATAAATATACTGAATAAATGAATGAATGAACATCAGTTGCTCAATGCAGGCTAACGTTTTCCCAGTGCATAGGTCTAAGAGAAAAATTATCATCTGTGGGCCGTCCTAAATGGGCCATGGAATACTCTTGGGGGGAATTCATTCATTCCATCACTCATTCTTTCACTCATTCATTCATTCACTCACTCACTCACTCATTCGTTTACCCATTTATTTGTTCATTCATCCATTCACTTAAATCATTCATTCACTCACACATTCATTCATTGAGACTCCACAGCTCCTTCCTCATGAGCACTGCTCTGGGATGAATTTGTGAATGAAATATTAGTGTTTCCTGCCCTCAGGGAGTTTTCACTGTGTGAGCAGGAGACAAAGGTATACAGTAAATGTGGATAACTGTGTAACCAGCATGTCAGACACTGGGGGGGGGGAATTCAAAGTCCATTGTTAAGGGGCGGGGCTGAGTGCCACTTCGGCAGAGACCTGAAGGTGACAGAGGGAGACAGAAGGACACCTGGGAAAGAAAAGGCACAGAGTGTGGTCAGGCGGCTGGCACAGTGGAGCCAGGCTCACAGCTGCTGTGCTGAGCACAGAACACAGGGGACACGGGAGGGAGCGGAGACCAGGCAGAGGGGCATGGGCAGGGTGGCAGCTGACAGTCAAAGAGGCTGCATTCCAGCAGTATTGGGGGGCTTAGGGGGCAGGCACTCCTGAAGGATCAGGTATGGGGAGTGAGGAAAGGAGGGGAGTGGGACGCCCCACCTGGCCCTCACGGAGGGAGGGGGAGTTTGGTGCCAGACAGAGCAATTCCCCCAGGGGCTCACCTCAGCAGGCACCCTCAACCCCAGTCCCAACACAGAAATGAAGAGCTGGCCACTGGCCTGGGAAAGAACCATAGCCTGCCCAAAGTCCTCCTGAGAGTAACTGCTCCACACTCTGCTAGGACCTCCACACTCTGCCAGGGCAGAGCGCAGTGCATTCCTCTGTGACCTCAAGTGGATGAGACGAGACGGGCTGGGTGCTGGCCGGAGGGATGTGTGCTCCTGAACACCCATGCTGCTTCCTTTATCCACCTGCCTAGACCTGGGGGGTGGAAAAAATACAATGCACCTGGTCTAGGAGGAAAATGAAGAAAGAAAAGTTGAAGGTAGAAATAAAAGGACCTGCCATGTGCCAGGATCTGTGCCAGGCACGGCCCTCATCCCCCGTCCTGACAACCACCTAGCCACACAGGGACAAGACTGTCATGCCAGCTGCAGTGCCCCCCCCCACACACACCCCAGGACACGTATCCCTTGACCCCATGGGGCCCTGAGCCAGACGCTCCCTCCAGGCCTGGCCCCTCTGCCGGCGCCGCCTCTCCAGCTCACTTACTCAGAAGGGCTTCTTGCGCAGACTCTGGAGTCCACGATGGCACGGCGGGCAAGCTGAAGGCAGCGTGGACATCTGTGATGACGCCCTGGGCCAGGCCAGCGTGGCCCAGCTCTCCGGGTCCTAGAGCGGGTGAGAAGCAGGGAGGAGGGAGGGGGATGCTGGCAGGCGAAGCAAGGATGAAATATTGATGCTCGCATCCTGGTAAAGCAGAGAACGCCGCTTGTCCATGAATAAAAGATGGGCCGGAGGAGCGGGCCAGGCAGCAGATTAATTAATCTAAGTGAGCACTCTGCCTTGTGCCATGGGGGAGGGGGCGGCGGAGTAAACAGCCCCGCAGGCCCGGGGGGGCCAGCAGAAGTCCTCTGTGCCAGGCAGGCAGCTGGTTACAGCAAGGACATGAGCAGAGCATCAGCGCCAGGCCCAGATGGGCAGGGAGAGGGACAGAGGCAGCTGGACCATCCAGGACTGACCTGGCCTCTCTGCCGCACTCCCGCGGGAGACCACGAGAGAAGGCAGCTTCCAGAGCAGGTGTGGGGTCTCTGAGGTTGGCCGCGGGGGATAACCTGGGACTCCTTGGTCCTTTCCTGCCGCCTCAATTTCTCCCTCAGGGAAACTGTGAGAACCTGGATAAAAGAGGGGGGAAGGGAGGGGAAAAGTCAGAGGCAGGAGGTCTAAGGTTTGGCGAGAAAGTTGGGCACAGGCTGGCATCACTCCGAGAGAGTTGGGCAGGGATGGAGGACCGTGAGGTCTAAGGCCCGGGGAAGGGTTGGACGGTGCTATAGCTGTAACCACCCTCAGAAATGCTAAACCCAAGATCCGCATGGCTTCTTGCCTTCAACATAACATGGAAAATGTGTTCATGGAGAGAGGAGGGGCTCACGCCTCCTCTGAGGTGGCAGCGGTGGTTTGACCAGGAGATGGCGCTCACGACCTCTGCTTTGTATTTGTCTTCCTGTTTGTGGCTCTCGATAAGTTTATCGGAAGGTTACGCCAGGACTTTGTGGGAGGGGTGGAAATGCCCTTCGTTACAGTTCTCGCCCCAGGGTCCTGCAGAAGAACGTCCCCTCCGGGGTCTGAAGTGTCCTAACGACACCGCCAGGAGGAGCTCCCAGCCTGCCGGTGGCTCCTCCTCCCCCCGCACCAGCCTCAGTGGAACCAGGGGCGCCTCTTGCTGGGGTCGTCACCCTGGTCTCCTCTGTGTCTGCGGACAGCAGGACTGTCCCTGGAACTGTTCCCTGGGCAATTCAGCGTGAGCTGCCCACTGACACCTGCTGTGCCCTGTCTCATATTCGTCATTTAAATTTTTTTCACCTAGGCTTAGTCCTGTATCCTTCTGATCCCCATAGTGCCTCAAAGCTCTACACAGGCTCACAGGCACATCACACAGATGTCAAAGTGAATGAACAACAACAGTCCAGCCACCTGCCCTCGTCCTGGTCTGATTTCCGTGCCTGGACCTCACACTCCTCCCTTTAAGACAGGAACTAGTCCTTACTGAGGGCACCTGTCTACATCAGCCCAGAACCAGGCAGATGTTTTCCAAGCAACAAACTTCCCGCACCACGAGGCAGGGCACATCTCTCCCATTGGACAGATGGTGAAACTGAGGCTCAGTTCTTGGCAAAGGTCATCCCACTGGCAAGTGGCAGAGCCAGGAATGGGCCCTGACCTGAGCCTTGGGTCCTTGCTGGTGCCTCCACATGCTGATGGTGAGATGCAGCAGGAACGCAGAGCGGAGGGGACTTAGCTTCACCGCGGGCCCCCCACCCTTTCCCTCCTCCCACCCCCCCACCCCCGCAGCTGCCGGAGAGGGTGCGAGCTGGATGGAGCCCAAGTGTTAAGGCTCTGGAACTGCTGGACAGGTCCCATGGCCTAAAGCAGAGAGGAGACAGGTGGAGAAACCCCACCCCTCTCCCAGGACCCCATGAAAGATTCCCCAGGGTCTAACCACATCCACCCAGCTGCCAGAGCCTGGCTGCCAGATCCTGATACCTCACCACCACCTGGGCCTGGAGCTGAGGTCGGGCCAGGGCTGGTGATCCTCATCACACTGGAAATAATCACAGGTTCACAGGAATCTTGACAGGAGACGAAAAACTGGCAGAAAACTGACCTGGAAGGCACATTCATTGTCACACACATTTTACCAAGGAAACAGGGGCATCTAAGGGAGTGAATTTCTTTCTGGAGGGAAAAAAATTGGCTGGGAAGCCAGGAGCTTTCCATTTCTGTGGTCACAGTGCCACCTGCTGGCAGTACCTGGCCTGGCTTGTAGGGGTGTTCCCGTGCTTCAGGAATAACTTCCAGATCACTGGCATTTTTTCATTCATTCACAGATATTTATTCAGCACCTACCATGTGACAGGCATTGTTTCAGGGGCTGAGTGAATAGTAGCGAACAAAACAGACTAAATTCCCTGTCCTTACAGTGCTTATATTCTAGTGGGGGAAACAGTAAACAAGGCCAACACATAAATATTTATTGTACTTCAGTCACTCACTCGTGTCCGACTCTTTGTGACCCCATGGACTGCAGTATGCCAGGCTTCCCTCTCCATCACTATCTCCTGGAGTTTGTTCAAACTCACGTTCACTGAGTCAGTGAAAATATACAGCATGCTAGAAGGGTGAGCACTAGGAGAAAAACAAATTAAGAAGCAGGTAGGGAGTGCCCTGGAGATTACGATTTTAGATAGAGTGGTCAGACATGACCCCTCTGAGGCAGTAACATTTTGAGTAAAGTCTGGAAGGAGATGAGGAAAGAGCCATGTAGATTTCTAGGCATGAACATTCCAGACAAGTGCAGAGGCCACACTGAGCTTGTAAGGTCTAGGGAACAGAAAAGACCAGTGAGGATTAAGTAGAGTATGCAGAGAATGGTAGGAGGTAAGACCAGAGCTTGGAGGCCATTGAAAGGGCGCTGACCTCACGAAGTAGGCTTCATTGCAAGTGTTGGGCTTAGGAATGGCACGACCCAGTTTCAATTTTCAAAGGACCTCTCTGGGCCCTGTGTGGAGTCAAGGGTGGAAAAGGAGACACTGATGAGGAAGCCACTGCAACCTCCAACAGCAAGAGGCCCAGGGATAGCTGAGGCAGTGTGAGGAGTGGCAGGATTTGCTGGTGGGAGAGAGAGAAGCACCATCCTTGACCCCAAGGTTCTGGCCTAAACTACAGAAAGAGTGGTATTGTCCTTACTGAGATGTGGGATTGGCCAGCTTGATGCAAGGAACTGTGAGCTTTGATTGGAGCCTGTCCAGTCAGAATTGTCCGTTAGACATCCAGAGGGCAGTTGGATAAGTGTCTTGAGCTCATGGAAGAGTTCCTGCCTGGAGCTACAACAGAGTCATCAGCTCTTGCATGACATTAAAGTCATAAGACTGGATGAGATCCAAGAGAACAGAAAGAAAAATGAGGGGCTGGGGTTTGAGCCCCGAAGCCCTGGGCTAATGAGGTCAGGAAGATGCAGGGAAATGAAGAGGAGAAGGCAACAGAGAGAGGGAACCGGAATTCTAGAATCCTGGAACCAAGGCTAAGAGAGAGGAAGGAGTGGGCTAATCCCCGAAAGGGCTGAGAAGGGTCTCCTGGATTCAGAAAGGCAGAGGGCATGACCTTGAGAAGAATGGTTCTGAAAACGGATGGAGACAAAGGAGTAAATGCAAGAAAGAATGACAGAGAAACTGGGGACAAGTGGAGAGCATTCTCTTGTAGCCTTTTGTTGTAAAAGGAGAAGGGAGATGGGAAGGTAGCTGGAGGAGGGTTGGGTCAAGAGATGTCTGGGAGTTTTTTCAGGTGGGAAAGAATAAGAACCGCTTGGACACTAGCAGGGGTAACTGGGGACAGAGCGAGAAGCCTGTTGCAGGAGACATAGAGAAGAATTATGGGAGCACTGCTTTCCAACAGGTGAGAAGGGATGATATCTGGTTGTTCATCCCAGTGAGGTACCACTTCACACCAGCTAGGGTGGCTAAGACCCAAAAGACAGTAATGAGTATCAGTTAGGATGTGTGTAAGCAGCTCTTTATGGGAAACTTCCCTCAGCAGGAAGCCCTTTGTCTTGTCATTTTAGCAAAACTATATTGTAACTAACTTTAAAAAAAAATTTTTGGCTGCACTACACAGCATGTGGAATCCTAGTTCCCCAATGAGGGATCAAACCCATGCCCTCTGCATTGGAAGTGCTGAGTCTTAACCACTGGACCACTGGGAAACCCCTATAACTAACTTTTAAACCAAGCACCCCTATGCTCTACTCATTTGCAACCCAAGAAGACCTTTCAGATTTTTTAGTCACTCTATGCCTTGTCTAACTTATTGGTTCTGTCTATAGATCAAAGAAGAAATGAAAAATAAGTAATTAACAGATGACAAGATCTGTTTCCTAGCTTCCCCTTCAGTGATCTCCTGAACAAACTGTGGGACAAAATTGTGTGAACACAATAACATCTAGAGAAAGATCCCGAGGAGCTGACAAGCCTGCACACAGTGGGGAATGACAACTCTGACCCCCAAATCGATGATTATCTAGACTACTTTCCTATCTACCTTTAAAAAGCTTTCACAGCCAAGCAGAATCCTTGAAGGTGGTTTTGGGGGGTTGTTCAGTCCACCATTTTCCCAGATCGCTGGCATTCTGATTAAAGGCAATTTTTTCTCATCTGTGAGTATTGATTTCGTAAGCAGTGAGCAACAGAACAGATCCAATTTGATAATGTAGAGAAATTAAAATTCTTGTACATGGTTGGTGGGAATATAAAGTGGTGCAGCTGCTTTGAAAACAGTTTGTCAATTCCTGAAAAAGTTACACGTGGGTGATCCTAGTTAATAAAACTGTATTGTATATTCGGAAGCTGCTTAGAGAGTTGATCATAAAAGTTCTCATCATAAGAAAAGAAATTTCATAACAGTGCTTGGTGATGGATGTTAACTAGACTTGTTGTGGTGATATTTCCCAATATGTACAAGTATTGAATCACTATGTCATACACCTGAAACTAACATAATGGTATATATCAATTATATCTCAATTTTAAAAAAATTTAAGTTAAACACAGAGCTACCGTATGACCCAACAATCCCCCCTAGGTGTACCAAGAGAAAGACATATGGCCACACAAAAATGAATACACCAATGCTCATAGCAGCATTGTTCATAATAGCCAAAAAGTGGAAACTCAAATGTCCATCAACTAGTGAGTGGATAAACAAAATATGGTATATCCATTAGTGGAATATTATTCAGTCATAAAAGGAATGAAGTACCGATACATGCCTAACACGGATGAACCTTGACAACCTTATGCTCAGTGAAAAAAGCCAGATATCAAAGTCACAGATTGTATGATTTCTGGCTCTATAACAGTCTATATTTCAGTCTATAACAGTCTATTTCTGGCTCTATAATCAGTCTGGCTCTATAACAGGTGAATTTATGGACACTAGACTTTTCCATAAAATAGATTAGTGGTTGCCAGGGGGCTGGAGTTGGGCAGGGTAGAGTGGGCAGTGACTGCTAATGGGCATGGGATTTATTTGGGGGGGTGATGAAAATGTTCTGGAATTAGGTAGTGGTGATGGTTGCATACAGAGAAGGCAATGGCACCCCACTCCAGTACTCTTGCCTGGAAAATCCCATGGATGGAGGAGCCTGGTAGGCTGCGGTCCATGGGGTCGCTAAGAGTCAGACACGACTGAGTGACTTCTCTTTCACTTTTCACTTTCACACATTGGAGAAGGACATGGCAACCCACTCCAGTGTTCTTGCCTGGAGAATCCCAGGGACGGAGGAGCCTGGTGGGCTGCCGTCTACGGGATCACACAGAGTCGGACATGACTGAAGTGACTTAGCAGCAGCAGCAATAGATGGTTGCATATCCACTCTGTGGGTATGCTAAAAAAATATATAAGCATTGAATTCACACTTTAAAAGGGTGAAGGTTATGTTTTGTGATTTTTTTTTCAATAATAGCTTTTTAAAAAGCAGATCTTGCTGTGCAGAGTAGAAGGGCTGCCTTGGCCACAGTAGAGAGGCAGAGGACTCAGGCACTCGTGCGGGCGGGTGGATGGGTGTGGCGGTAGGCGACTGTGGACATTCTCCCGTGGTGGCTTCTAGTGTCCTGGTGAGACAGGAGGTGAGGTCATCAGCTGAGAGTGAGGAGGCGGGTTCCAGGAAGAGCAAAGGTGTTAAACGAAGAGAGAGGGAAAATGGATGGATTCAGGACATTGCAGGGCAGTGCTGAGGTCCCGGTGAGGGAGGCAGAGGAGTGCTGGGGAGACGGGAGAGCCCCGGCAGCCTTGAGAGTGTGGGGACCTGAGTCAGGGGCCCCGTGCTCCCCACATAACACGGCTCTCCAGGTCCCTCAACACACAGGTACACACATGGAGGTCTGCACCATCAAACCCTAAAGATGCCCACCCTTCAGGCTTCATGATTTTCAATCCACGTCTCTCACACTCGCGTCTCTCATCCCTCTTTGGAAATCTAGCCTCAGAGACACTTGCATGTGGACACAAGATATATGTACAGGATGTCTGCAGCAGCTTTGTTAGTAATGTAAAAGATTGGAAACAGCCCGAATGTCCATTACTGGGGAAATGGTCAAATAAATTCTGGTCCATCTGTGCTATGAAAGCTCTGCGGCAGTAGACGCTGGAGGAGTCTGTGTGTTTGACAGGGAAGGATGCAAAGAGGCAACATCATTAGGTGGGCAACAGTTACAGAACAATGAGTGTAATATTATGTAATTTTCTTCCCTTTTTTAAAACACAAAAGTGGTATTTATAAGTGTATACATAGGTTATTAAAAGATTAAAAGATCTAGAAAGGATGCAATTTACATTGTTAATGGTGAGTAATCTTGAGGGGTAGGTTTTGGGAAAAGTGTTAAGGAAGGTTTCAGGGATCAAAGGGTTTTAGAGGGGGCATAGATGCTCTTGTAATTTAAAAGGGAAAGATCTGGGACTACCCTGGTGGTCCAATGGCCAAGACTCCATACTCCCAATGCAGGGGGCCCCAGGTTCAATTCCTGGTCAGGGAACTAGATCCCACGGGCCACAACTAAGGATCCCCCAGGCCGCAACAAAGACTGAACATCCCACGTGCTGAAACTAAGACCCAGAACAGCCAAACAAATAAATTAAAATATCAAAAATAAGTCACAATAGAAAGGAAAGAACAGCTGTGCCCTCCCCGCTATCCCTGACTCCATTCCCACTCTGGGCCAGAGAGTGAGACCAGCATCCGTCCAGTCTAGTCAGCTATGCCCCTCTCGCCCCTGGAGGCAGACACCAGGCCTGGCCAGAGCACAGCGGGTCTGGGCCAGCCTTCCCTCTGCCCGGCCACCCCCACCTCCAGCTCCCAGCCTCCCCTTGCTTCCCCACCTCACACAACTGTTCCCCTCCAGCTGCTTCCCCGGGGTTAGGTACAAAAGGCCATGGGAGAAGCTGCCACAATGATAACACCAGACACTTACATAGCACTCAACTGTGTACACAGGCTCTGTTCTAAACACTTCATAAATGAACCCCCAGCAACCCCACGGGTTCCATACACTGATATTACTATTTTCACTCCATAGCAGATTTTTAAACACAAACCAGAAGAATCACGAAAGACCAAGTCCCTTGCCCCAGGTGCTACGGCCCACTGACCGGAGAGAGGCTCCCTGGCAGGAACCCATGGTCAAGGCCAGTCTCCTCCTCTGGCTTCCCTCCCACACAGCTGCAGGTCCCATGATGCTCTGAGCAGGCGGTGTACCTTCCAGGGTGAGGCTAGGGTTTCCTCTTCCCAGAACCCCGCCCTGTTCACATCTGGCACACAGGAAGGGTGCATGTGTTTCTTAAATTAATTGCTCTGTCCTCCCACCCCCCACTCCACCGTGGCCCCGTGCTTCTCCTTCTGGGCCGTGTGTGTGTATGTTAGTTGCTCAGTTATATCCAACTCTTTGTGAACCCATAGACTATAGTCCACCAGGCTCCTCTGTCCATGGAATTCCCCAGGCAAGAATACTGGAGTGACTTGCCATGACCTCCTCCAAGGGATCTTCCCAAGCCAGGGATCGAACCCAGGTCTCCATCATTGCAGGCAGATATTTTTACCATTGGTTTCCTCATCTGTAAAGTGAAGGGATGGATTCAATGGAGTCCGACCACCACTTCAGGACCGGAATTAAGGTGAAGCCAGTGTTCATCCCAGCGGGGTGACTGTCAGTGATGGGACGTGGGGGCCAGGGTGGGAAGGAGGAGAGTTTCCTGGATGCCTGCCCTCCTGGGCCTTCAGAAGCTGGGAATGTGGTCTCACCCACCCACAGGCACAGACACCTCACCCGATGTTGCCCAGTCAACACAGCTCCAGAGAACGGCAGCCCACACCCTGCTCCACGGGCTCCGCAGGGGACACCCTGCCCAGCCTCATGGAAGGTGAGGAGCTGCTGTCCCCGAGTGAAAGTCCTGGCACCTAAACGGCCCACCGTAGGTGGAGGAGAGCACACGGCATGTGAGCGGCACGTGTTGGCTGCATGAGGCACCTCTGGCCAGGTGAGCCGGTCTGGAGTCACTCTCCAGTCTCCTGGGGCTGTGGAAGCCCAGGGCTGCCCTCCTACAGTCCTTGTGCATCCAGCCGGCAAGCGCCAGGACGACGACAACCTGGGGGACAAAGAGCCCGTGAAGGGAGGAGGAGGGGGCCTGGCACTGCTGTGTGCAAGCACGTTGGCACATCCGCTCACAGGGCCCCGCAGGAACTGGCCGCCTCATAGCTTGAGCCCTAGAGAGGCCAAAGGCAGGGCCTGGATCACCGGCTGGGACTGAAGTCAAATCCCGGGTCCCACCCCACGCCCCTCCTTCTGTCACTCCTGGCTGAGCCAGGATCCTGAGCTGCGTCTCAGACGCAGCGACCGGCCCTGTCCACCCCAGTCCTGGGCTTCCTGCCTCAGCCTGGAACCGACCCTCGAACTGAACGTCCTCAGATCTGGGATCTAATGGGTCCTAGGCTAGATCCTACCAGTGGATTCACTGTCAGCACCTGAGCCCCCAGCCAGTACATCCCCCAACCACCCCCACTGCCCCTCATCATTCGTAACTGCTCCGTACTTCTTAACAGAGCCTCCCAGCCTCATCGCTCAGGGTCACAGAGCCAGACGACGGCAGGCCTCAGCCCTCACAAGAGGTCCAGGTCGACCATCAGAAATAAACAGGGGACTTCCCTGGTGGTCCAGTGGTTAAGAACCTGCCTGCCAAAGCAGGGGACATAGGTTCAATCCCTGGTCCGGGGAGATGCCACATGCTGCGGAGAGACTAAGGCCGTGCATCACAACTACTGAGCCTGGGCTCCAGAGCCTATTCCACAACTAGAGAAAGCCCAGGCAGCAAAGGAGACCCAGCGCAGCCAAAATAAATACATAAACCTTTTTTCTTTAATGTATTAAACTGGGGAAGGAGGGTGGCTCTGCTTCCTCCATGCACGAGAGGTAACTCTCTGAGTGTTTCCTTTTCCCTTCCCTGGGATAGATTTTTGAGCTCTCCCGGGGAGACCTGGTTTCTGACACTCTCGCAAGGTACCAGGGAGGTCTGTGGGCCCAGGGACAACTCCAGGCTATAGGCAGACCCATAACCAAGCTGAGAACCCCAGGTCAGCTCTTCCTCCAGCCCGCTCATGCCACACAACCACACCGAAACATGGCCACTCAGGCTACAAGTGCCCCTGGCGCCGCCTCCTCCACCCATCCACCCTAGTCCTGGGCTGCCCACAGGTGGCCCCCATCCCCATGGTGCCAACTCACAGGACTCAATGGATGCCTGACAGCGAGCAGCCCTTCCCCACTGCCTGCCTGGAGCCTGCTCCTGGGCCAGAAGCCAGACAGAGTTTCCTGGAACCTCTGGGGCCTCCGGCACCAACATACGGAGAAACCTGTGGGAAGAAAGGTCAGAATAGAAACAGGCAGAACAAGTAGGGGCTGTGGGAAGGAGGGTGGTACCGTGTGGATCATCCCTGTCCCCCCCAGCCCTATCACTGCCACTTGATGCTTCCCTGCCCAGGCACATGAAAGCTGCTACCCACCCCTTCCCAGAACAGACACACAAGTCAGGGAGGCAGAACTCCATCCAGGTTACATTCAACCAAGTAGAGCGTGGTACCTTGGCACAGAGGAGGGCCTCATCTCAGACACTGTGAATCCAGGAGGACTTCCTAAAGGAAGTGATTTCTGACGCCTCGAGGGAAAGACTGCTCCAAGGAGAAAGAGTTTGTGCAAAGGCCCTGAGGCCATAGAAAGTGTGGTGAGGATTGAGGAGAGCAGGAAGGCTCTGCACACAGCTGGCAGCTAAAGCAGCCCCGCTCCACACTGGCAGCAGCGGCTTGCTTGTTCTGCTTCTGAGACATCCACAGGAATGCGCCCAGCCTCCCCACTGGTCCCACGAGCATAGTTTGGAAAATCTCTTGTCACAGTCTTCAGCCCAGTCCGAGACTCCTCTGACCTCCGGCATCCCTCTCTGAGGCCACTGCCGGGTGGGGCCTCAGCCCTCATCCCTCCAGGAGTTCCTGACTCATCGTGGAAAAAGCTAAAAAGCCCAGTCTTCTCAAGAATCAGTCTGGCTCTGGGGGGAGGGCAGCCGTGACCCCAGCTCCAGGACACACAGACAGTGGAGGGGGCAGGGAGCAAGTTAGAGACAGGAGAAGATGCAGAAACGCAGAGTGACGGGAAGAGAGACAGTAGCACGAGAGAGATACAGCAGGCAGCGGCGGCTCACATAAGCCAGAAACAAAGGGACACTCTTAGGTACACAGGACAAGCTGCCAAATTCAGCCAAGGACTACAAAGTCAGCTGGTCAGCTGACCTGGAGGCAGCCTATGGACCTCAGAAGAGGCTGGGTGGGGTGTCGGAAGGCAGCTCCCAACTCCGGGATGGGTCCGCTGCCTGCACTTGCAGAATAGACCATGAGGGGACGGTGTTGCTCCAGCCACGGCCCTTCAGCCAGGCGTCTGGCCTCCCCAAAGACAAAGGCAGACTGCTTCCATCAGAAGCAGCAGACATGGGCCCAGGCTCACTGAAGGGGTAAGAGACATAGATGAGGGAACCCAGAGCATCCACACCTGGCCTGGAGACCCCGCCTCATCCCAGCATCTCCTCAGACCTGCCCCTTCCCTGCACATTCCCCATCACCAGCCTCATTCTACCTTTCCTGTCTCCTGCCTTGCAGGCCCAGAGCATAGAAGGGCAGAGCCAGGAGACGCTGGCCAACTTCTCCGCCCTTTCTGTAAAGGACATGACAGCCGCTAGGTCTGAGGACTGCCCTTGGATCCTGCCACAGGACCAGTCCTTCCTTTACATCTTCCCTTGAAGGCTCTTGGATTCAGAGCATCCCTCACAAAAACACAGAGGTCTTGGCTGAGCCCACGCTTTCCAGCAGACTGCAGTGCTGAAAACACAACTGCAACCTTGGGCCACATTAGTAGAATATAATGTCCAGTGGAGGACAGCCGTCAGCAGTGATGAAGTCCAGGCCTCTGAAGGGACGTCAGTAAACCAACGTGACAGGAGGAAGACCACAGTGGAAACATGCTACACATTCAAGATCCATCAGGGAGCACCAACACCGTGTCAAACACTTGATATATTAAGTGTTACATATTAAGTGATATATTCAGTTCAGTTCAGTTCAGTTCACTCAGTCGTGTCCGACTTTTTGCAACCCCATGAACCGCAGCACACCAGGCCTCCCTGTCCATTACCAACTCCCAGAGTCCACCCAAACCCATGTCCATCAAGTCAGTGATGCCATCCAACCATCTCATCCTCCATCATCCCCTTCTCTTCCTGCCCTCAATCTTTCCCAGCATCAGGGTCTTTTCCAATGAGTCAGCTCTTTGTATCAGGTGGCCAAAGTATTGGAGTTTCAGCTTCAACATCAGTCCTTCCAATGAACACCCAGGACTGATGTCCTTTAGGATGGACTGGTTGGATCCCCTTGCAGTGATAGATTAAGTGCTTATTGTATCTTTACAGCAACTTGTATCATCATATCCACTTTACAGACAGGAACACTCAGAAAAGCTCTTCTTCCAATGACTGTTGTGTGTGTGTGTGTTTGTCTTTGTGTGTGTGTGTCTGTGTGTGTCTGTGTCTGTCTGTGTGTGTGTCTGTGTCTGTGTGTGTCTGTGTGTCTGTGTGGGTGTGGGTGTGGGTGTGTGTGCTCAGTCATGTGCGACTCTTTGCAACCCCACAGACTGTGGCCCGCCAGGCTCCTCTGTCCATGGAGTTTTCCAGGCAGCAATACTGGAGTGGTTGCCATTTCCTCCTCCAGGGGATCTTCCCAATCCAGGAATCAAACCCTCAACTCATGCATCTACTTCACTTGCAGACAGATTCTTCACCACTAGCACCACTACCCTGTAGGCGTGGTATTTCTCGAAGCTCCGTTTCAGGCCTCTCTTCTCCTTCATACATATTTCCTGAGTAGTCACATTTGATCCCATGACCTAGACTTTGTTCTCAAGTTAAACTGTTTGCCAAGATCATTCTCCCAGATTCCAGATCAATCTATCCGCTGGCCTTTTCCTCATCTCCTCCTGGATGTCTTCAGGGACCTAACCTTCTATGTGCCCAACGCTGACTCCTGATCTTCGTGGTCTGTTCTCCTGAGTCCATTCATGTAGGGCAGCCAAGCCCCCCGCCTCAGTGGGCCAGCAGAGGGTGTCTGCAGCTCAGCCAAGGCCTTGTGGGGGTGGGGAGGTTCCCGCTGGAGCATGCTGAGCACCACTGAGCACTGCGGTCTCTCTCCTCCTCCTTCCACCCCTCCCACCCCATGGTCCTCCTTCAGTCGCCACGGTCTCTCTTCCCTTCATCTTTGGGGAAATGGAAAACAGCCCTGCGAATGAGGGATGGAAGGGGATTTTGAGAACAAGCAGGAGAAGGGGGAGGAAACGCACGCACAGGGAAACACTGGACCCTTTGTTGGAGTGATTCTGCCCCACAGCCATCCAGGGCTGGGGTTTGGCTCAGCAGGAGCAGCCAAAAAGGGCAAAGTGGCAAGAGAATTTGCAGTGAGCAAGTTATTGTTCAGCCGCTCAATCGTGTCTGATTCTCTGCAACCCCATGGACTGCAGCATGCCAGGATCCCCTTTCCTTCACTATCTCCTGGAGTTTGCTCACACTCATGTTGACTGAGTCAGTGATGCCATCCAACCATCTCATCCTGTCGTCCCCTTCTCCTCCCGCCCAGTGAGCAAGAGGATGATAGAAATAATGTCATCCAAGCAGGCTAGAAAGGAAAATGAAGCCAAGAGAGGATTGAGGAGACAGAAGTTTTAATGACATTAAGAAAAAAAAAAACAACCCTCTTGTGGCAGGAGTTGATAGCAGGCTGGATGGGATGGCTGCAAGGTCACATAGTCTTACTACAGAAAGGAGTGAAGGGGGAGGGAGGGAGCAGGGCGGGGCTGGTTGAGCCTGGGCAGGAATGGGGGCCGTTCCCATTCTCACTGGTGATCCTGGATGCTCTGGGTTTCCCCAGGCCGCTGCCCCAGTCAGAAGAGACAGGGAGGGGGCCGGGATAGAGCAAAGCTGGCTGATGGGAGGGGCTCAGGGGACTGGAGACCTCTGGCATCACGACAGCCCCTCAGGTTCAGGGTGTAGGACCCTGAGTTAGGAAGTGGAGTGGGCTGGGCTGTCTGGTCCGGGAGCAGGCTGTTGCAGACCCAGCTGTGGGTAAGAGAGAGACAGAGGTAGAGACAAGTCAGTTCTTCCGGGGAGGGGCTGGGTTACTTACAGTCGGGAGAGCGAAGGGCCAGGCATGGATGGGAGGTGGGGGTCTAACTCCACACGGGGACTCCCAGGTGGATGTCAGGGGAGGGGCCCTCCAGGATGAACCAAGTGGGTAGCAGGTGCCCCTTTCTGCAGGAATGCTGTCTCAAGTCATTCAAAGGCATGTGCAGCCTCAGAGATGTTAGGAGCCACTGGCTGAATATTTGGATACTGTGTCCAATCTAGAGCCTGTGGGGAGGGTTTGGTTGTCTTCCAGCTGCATTTGCCAAGGCCCAAGGGAAGGTGCTGCCAGGAACGGGTGTGGCAAAGTTTCCCAGCTTGATTCCTCTTCCCTGTCACTGAGCATCTCCCCTTAAAGTCCCCTGGTCCAGAATTACTTGTGAGCGCTACTGTTTGCAGCATCACTGACTCAGTGGACATGAGTTTGAGCAAACTCTGGGAGATAGTGAAGGGCAGGGAAGCCTGGCATGCTGCAGTCCATGAGATCGCAGAGTCAGACATGACTTAGCGACAGAACAACCGTGTGCCTGACACCAGGTGGCGTGCTGGGAGTACACAGGCAAGTATACAACAGGCCTTGTCCTTGAGATACTCACGGTTCTAGAGGGTAGGCCTTCCATCTTCTCACCTGGCACCAACCAGGTGGGATACAGCATAGGTGCTCCCAGTCTTTGCACAAGCGATTCCCCTTGCTCAGAATACCCTCCCCTCCCCACCCCCTCACATCCCCCCCACACATCTCACCTGCTTAATCACCTCCTCTGCAAGTAACATCAGCTTTGATGTCCTTCCCTCTGGGAAGACTTCCTGGAATGCCCAGTTATGAGTGCCACTTCCCCACTCCCACTCCCCTTCCCCGCCACTTCCCTGCCTTAGCTGAAGTTGTAGAGATGCAGTGCAAGTCGTGGTTTGACGGTGTGACCTCCGGAGTCAGAGTCCAGAGGTGGCCTTCGAATCCTGGAATCCTCACTGACTAGCTGAGGACCCTGAGTAACTTACTTGACTTCTCTAAGTATCGGTTTCCCCATCTATAAGATGGAGAGGGGGGGTTTGTTTTGGTTTTTCTTCTTTTTTTTTCCAGTTAAGATTTTTCTGATGTGGACCATATTTAGTCTTTATTGAATTTGTTACAATATTTTATGTCTTGGCTTTTTGGCTGCAAAGCATGTGAGATCTTAATTCCCAGACCAGGGCTCGAACCTGCACCCCCTGCAATGGACAGCAAAGTCTTAACCCCTGGACCACCAGGGAAGTCCCCTTTTTTCAGCTTTCTTGAGACATAATTGACATAGAACAGTGCTTAAGTTTAAGGTGTACACCATGTGGATTATACGCTTGTATATCACCAGACTGACTAGTGTGGCTTAGCTAACATGCTTTCCTGTCACATAATTTCCATTTCTTTTTTGTGGTCTGAACATTTCAGATCTGCTTCCTCAGCGCATTTAAGGATATAATACAGTATTAGCTATAACCCCGTGCTGTACATTGTTGCTGTTGTTCA